CTGGAGCGACGCCGCTCCTTTCGGGTCGCTGGGCCCGGGCTCCTTTCCCGGCCTCACGGCCAGCCCCGCGCCCCGGAGCACGGGTCGCCTTTCGCCGAACTCGCAACGTTTCTTTAAAAGGCGTGTGGACCCGCGTTGTGGAAGCAAACGCTGGTGTCGACGTTGTAAGTGTCCTCCTGAATCCGCAAGGAAGGGACCCGGGCTTCTACCCTCACCCCGGCTGGAGACCTGTGGGCTGTGTCTTGATTGGAAACTGAATGTTGCTGAGTTGAAAGAAACTGCTCTTGGGTTTTGTCCTTTCCCTTCGGGGAAATGTGGCTTGCTACGTTTACCGTGCTTGGATTTTGAAAGCGAACAGAAATATGTCTGCTTTTCTTTTCTTACAAATGTGTTTATATTTGTTCCTCCAGAGACTTGAAGGATGGCCTCCTCGGATCTGGAACAGTTATGCTCTCATATTAATGAAAAGATTGGCAATATTAAGAAAACTCTGTCATTAAGACACTGCGGTAAGCAAAACAGATTCCAAAGACTTTGTATATACAAACTGCATTTTGATTATTGTTCCATTTGAATGATCTCTTGTGCCTTGTTAAGTGAATGTATCTTAAGAAGATAATTTTACATTTTGAACAGTGATTTTTAAAACATTGCAGCCTCGATATTTCAAATATTGCAGAGGATACTATGTAAGTGATAGTGTACGATGAACTGGATATTCACTGACTGTTTTTTACTTACATTTTTCTGAGACACATAGGCCAAAGTAAGATTTGAAGGTCATGTAGCACCATGATTCTGGAGCTAAGTGGAGGTACGGTCATGAGTTGCTTAATGACAGAGACATATTCTGAGAAATGCGTTGTTTGGCAGTTTTGTCCATGTGAACATCACATCATGGAGTGCACACACCTACATACCTGTATAGCGTGTGTATAACCTGTCGCTGTTAGCCTACAGACCTGTACAGCGTGTTACTGTACTGAATACTGTAGGCAACTGTGGCACAACAGTAAATATTTGTGTATCTAAACATAAAAGGGTTCAGTAAAAATTGGTATAAAAGATGAAACATAGTACACCTGTCAGCCATTTACCATGAATGGCCTGGAGGTTGCTCTGGGTGAGTCAGTGAGTACTGAGTAGGCTACACTAAATTTATTTTTAAATTTTTCTTTCTTCAGTAATAAATTAACCTTAGCTTAGTGTAACTTTTACTTGATTAACTTTTTTGTTTTGTTTAAGTTTGCAATTCTTGTAATAACAGCTTAAAACACAGACACATTTTACAGCTGTACAAAAATATTTTCTTTCTTTATATCTTTATTCTGTAAGATTTTTTCTATTTAATTTTTTCCTTTTTAAGCTTTTTTGTTAAATACACAAACACACACATAAACCCCCTATCTTCCACTTCTGCATCTTATCCCACTTGAATTTCTTCAGGGGCAGTAACTCCCATAATAATGGTTTCCTATGGTAATAATGCTTTCTTTGGAATACCTTCTGAAAGACTTCCCTGAGAGTGTTTTTCTTTTTTTATAAGTAGAAGTATGCTCTAAAATAATGTCGAAAATACAGAATAGTAAATACACAAACCAGGAATATAGTCATTTATTACCATTGTTAAGTATTATGTACTGCACATAATTGTATATGCTGTACTTTTATATTACAGGCAGTGTAGTAAGTTTGTTTACCAGCGTTACCACAAACACATGATTTATGCATTGTGCTACAACATTACTGATAGGAATTTTTCAGTTCCATTATAATCTTACAGAGCCATAACGTGGTCTATCACCCAAATAGTATGCAATGCATCACTGTAGTAAAAGACAAGTAGAAAGATTCATAGAAGTAGAATAAGTTCATAACCTGTCTTACAGTCTGCTTTGGAGGATGCTTATCCATCTGTATCATTGGGAAACAACTAATTGAAAATGAAATAAATATTTCAAGTATCTGTAAAGTTGGAGATTGTGGTCTTTGAAAATATTTTGATATACTGAAAAAGGTTGATGCAATGAAAGTTCAGAGAAGCAGATGATTTTTGTCAAGACTAAAATATTGTTTAAAAAAATGATATGTTCCTCAGTGTTATCTGGAAGAAGTAAAGATTTGTTGATGGACAGAATTCCATATGCTAGGGAGGTTGTGTTGAATGCTTACTGTAGTTTGCATTATGAATTGAGAGTTTAAAAAAATTTCAAATATGAACTTGTAATGTTGGAGTGCCCTTTCAAATTATACCTGTTCTTCTGTGGACTTCGATATTCTCAGTCCTTTACTGAGAACTCTTAATAAAGAAGCCTTATCCATTTTATAGTTTATGGTTCACATATTCTGTGGACATTTAAAACTGGGGGACTATGGGTTCATCTTAGCAAGCCCCCTCATTTCACATATAAAGAAACAGAGACTCTTAGAAGTCAAGTGTGGGCCAACAGTTTCTGTGTCTTGATTCCCATTCTAGTACTCTTTCTACTTCTTTGCCATGCTTTTTGAAATAATCTATAAAGGACTTCTGGATTTTTAATAATTACTCTTGTTTAGATTCTCTGAGGTCATGATTTCTCTTGGATAAACAGATATAATTTGGAGGTCTATAAAACTATCAAACCTTGAATTCAAATGACCCCACCAAACATGAGACCTGACTAAAGCAGTCAGACCTATTAGATTCCTATACACATTCCTATAATTTGTATGTGGGCAGAATAATTTGTCTGTTGGTTCATAGCCTATTTAATAAAGCCTAATATTTTGTTTGTCATTTTGGCTTCTGTAACTTAATTAGATTACTGCTACCAAAAGTAGTGAATTGATTATATTACTAAAAATTAGTAAACAAGTCTCTAAAATTTAGGTGACTAAAAGTTGAGGTACCGGTGTAGAGGGAGGAAGTACTGTATTCAGCTAATTATCTAACACTCTCAGTTATTCTCAGTAGAGACTCCAGTACTCTTGACAACTTACTAATTTGTTTTAGTTGTTACGAGCTGAGTGCCAAATGCTATTAGCATTGCTCTGTTAGATAGAATAATATACTGCTTCTCGTTATGATGATGAATAGTAGTTAGCGTTTACTGAGTGTTTTACTAGGTCCCAGGCACAGTGCTAAGCCCATCTTTTATATACTTTCACTTCTCTTTGCAGTGACCTTGTGAGGTATCAGGCCTGGAGCTTGTTGTCATTTTTTTCCTTCTGCCTTCATAGTCTACACATATGACCAAAGTGTGCTTTTGCATATGTTTATGTAAAAGATATATATATATATATCTCATTATTTGTTTGCTGGAAATACAGATGGAAAGATTTAATTATGAGGATGTTTTTTCTTTTATGCTTTTCATCTGCTTTAAAAAACTTTTTAAAAATACCTTTTTTATTTCTAGGGAAGAAGGGACTCTGATTTTTCCATTCTCAAATCTATGAAGCTAGAGAAGGTGCTAGGAGGTAGGGCTGGGAGTATGAGAATATGCTACTTTGTGTCTTGTGTTTGTTTCTGCCAGGCATCCCAGGGGGGTTACTGCACTGCAAAGAGAAGTGAAAGTACATGCCTGTGACTTTTTATGTTACTTTTTCTACTTTAGCTTTTTGGATAATGTGGATAGTATTAATATGTACCCCAAACCTGAATGATTCCCAAACCTATGTTACATATTCCCAAAGAGAACTCTGCTCAACCTCACCTCCACCTGTTGCACACACACACCTGCAGGCCAGCCCCAAACGAGCTTATTTCTCAGGCCAGTGATGAGAATTTTTCAGGTTTGTACTTGCACTGAAGTGGGGGTTCTGGCCTCATTTGAGGTTCTCTCCTAGTATTTCGTATTTTGAAGTCCCAAAGCCTTGGCTCTTATCCTCATTAAATAAAATATATTCATTTGTTGAAAACCTCTCCAGTATTCCTCTGTACCCCCCAGATTAGGGCTGCTGCAGCATCAATTCCCACATACTGCCTGGTTTGTGGTTACCTCTTCCTACTGACATCCTTGGAAATTCATTCATCTTATTCTCATGAAAACTCAGCTATGTGTGTAGAAGGATATTTATTTTATCTAGCATTTTTAGATATTTTATTACAGTGGAGGAATTTGTCAACAAAATACTGAGGGGACACTTTGTCCTTGTCTCTCCCCTCCTTGTCTTCCATACTACTTAGAATTGAGGTCTAAAGATTATCCATGGAGTCAAGTCCTAAGGGCTGAAGCAGTAGTCTTTTTGCCACCCTCAGTGTCTCAGGTACAGCTATTTGTTCCATGAGTTTACATGGAACTTGTGCATTACTGCTTTTCTATACACTTTGTTTTCTATTTTATCTTTGTTTATAACAGGCCAAGAACCTACCTTGAAGACTGTATTAAATAATATAGGTGATGAGATTATTGTAGTAAATGAACTTCTAAATAAATTGGAATTGGAAATTCATTATCAAGAACAAACCAACAATTCACTCAAGGTAATGCTTTTCTAATGAAAAAATAGCAAAAAGGCAATAAATACAAACTCCCTAATCACCAGGTAATTCTTAAGGATTTTTTGTTTGTAATGTTCTTAGCTTTATCAATTGCTAATAGTATGAAGTGACATTTGTGTTTTATTTTCCTAGTATAAAGAGTTCAGAGCTCCACAGCTGTTGAACTCAGGCCAATGAAATTGAACTTTACTAAAAAGAGCAGTTCTCTAAGTAAGTCTTGGTGGATTTAATTTGAACAAATGATGACCTGGTAGAGTGGTGTGTAAAGAACACTGGCCTTGGATAAGTAGATGTGGATCCTCACCTTGGCTCCCCTTGGCGCTTGCTCTCTGCCGCTCTGAGAACGCCATTTCTTCTTGAGACCTCAGGATCCTCATTTGAAAAGTAATGGGTCACCCTAGACTATTTTTTAATACAATGTAATATAAGTATTCCCAAGTAAAAGAAAGCTTGAACCTCATCGCATGCACGTTTTATTGATATGCCTTCTAATTGACTTCAGCTAACAAAAGTGCTTATGAGCTTCCTGATGGGAAAATACTCACTCTGTATCACAATTGCTTCTCGTTGTTGTTAAAGCCACTGAAATGTTCGGTGATATTGAACAAGGGTCTCTATAATCCCCTTCAGCATTATAATCCTTAAGGCCCATAAAGGTTTTTCAACTGTAGGAATGGGCACGATTGTGTCTATCCTACTGTCAGTCAAAATGAAATTAGTATCCATGAACATCATTCGACTTTTCAAAAAAAGATGTCAAATAAATTCAAAACAGAAACTAATATTGATATTTCAATTCTAACCTGCCCAATAATTCCCAGGGTTAGATGTGGGCCTAGAGAATGTTCACCTCAAAACTGAAAGCTATTTGGAATTTCTGTGTACATTATCATTGGGAGCCAGATGACGGGAACCCAGAGGTGCAGAATATTTTCCTTATTAAAATTTTATGAGTTCATAGCCTCAAATTCTAGTGAAAGTTACAAAAAAGCTCAGTTATGATCAAGTAGAAATTTTCATTAAGCTGGGGTATATGAATGTCATCAGTGGAAGTCATTCTAAGCAGCATCCCATGCTTGACATCCGGGCATCTATTATCATGTTTGTGCTGTTAATATGGGTAGCACTGAGGAACATTTGCTAGGTCAACGAAAAATATAAGTCTTTCATATATTTCTTAGTTGCCTTCCAAGATTCAAGTATTTGGGAAAGATTTAACTTTAACCCTGCCTTGCATTTGTAATGTGATTATAGCGATGATTCTCTGAAAAAATCTAGTAGAGAAAAATATAATATCACCATCCAAAAACAGCTCTAGAAACCAAAGGGCTTCTTTTTTATGTTGCTGTATTCAGTGCTTTTTCACTTCATGCTGCTTTCTCAACACTCACAGTCACTGTGGTTAAGCTCACAGTCTTTTCTATTCTTTAAAGTGACTTAAAACACACACAGGAAGACAAAGACTTATTTGTGAGCATTTTTTAATTTTAGGAACTCTGTGACTCTCTTGAAGAAGATTACAAAGATGTGGAACATCTCAAAGAAAACATCCCTTCTCATTTACCTCAAATAACAGAAACCCAGAGCTTGTAAGTGTATTATAACTATTCTTGCTATCTGGATTTATAAATTCATGAAGACAAATTCTTCAAAGCTTTTTGTTTCTTCATGTACTTGCAACTTTGTCAGTGATTATCCTGTTTTTGTCACTTACATTGGAAGCAGTATTTTTCCTTATGTTCACCAGTTTTCTTTTCCTGCCTTCTATGAGAACCCCTCTTTCCCAAGGACGTGTCGCTCTAGCCCCCTTTTCCCCTCATTAGAGCAGTTTGTCAGTCTCAGCTTCATAGACATTTTAGGCTGGATAATTCTTTGTTGTGAAAATAGGACATTAAGTAGCATTCTTGTTCTCTGCCCACTAGATACCAATAGCATTCCTCATTCCCCACCCAGTTGTAACAATGAAAAATGTCTCCAGACATTGCCAAATGCCCTCTGGAGGCAAAATGTCCCTTGACCCTTGAGAACCACTGCCTTGGTAAAGATAAGCTTAGTGAACTATCTTAAAAATCGCCAGAGGAACAGTAAATTTGGCTCTTTTTCCTCCCTCAGACTTCCATACTATCTCTGTCTGCCTGTTCTCTTACAGTGTACGTTTGTGCTTTGCCTTTCTCCCAGAGGCCCCAACACCTGCCTTTTGGCTGTCATTACTACCTCACTTATGGAATTGATTGCTCAAAGGTCATAAAGAGGTAAAAAATCCCTCTTCAGTCCTCATTCTACTTGTCAGATTTCACTTGGTTTTGCCACCATTTTGTCTTTGAAATTCTGTTTTCTATGCTGCCACTGTGCTTTCATAGTTGTTATCCACATCTCTGACTGGACTGCCTCCTTGTCCTCTGCCTACCTTTAAGTTACAGGTATTTCCTGAAGCTACTTTACTCTTGCTGACCTAACCCCACCATTAACACTCTCAAGTGTCCAACTCTAGCCTTGACATGTCATCTAGTTCTGGTGATTTGATGGCCTGCTATAAATCTGATGAGTGAGCCCTTTTTCTTCTCAAACTTTGTATCTATAAGACTTGGCGGTCTTCTTACTTACCCATCCAACCTGTTGCTCTCATCCTCCCATCCCCTAGGCAAGGACTTGGCATCTTGATCCTCTTTCACTGTCCTTAGCCATCACCTGTCATTGGGCATCCAGCAAGAATATAGTCAGGAAAATAGAAGGAATTTTCTTCTTCTAAGTTCTCTATGGCCTAGCTTCAATTCTCAGGGTAAGTCAAAGCAGAACCTTTATATAGATTGAAATGAGTATTTCTGGCTGATATAATATAGCAGGACATGAAGGAGAGAAGTCAGGTCCTTCCTTAGCACACGGTTAAGACAAGCAAGTTACAAGTACAATTCAGCATGATAGATTCTCATGTCAAAGATGACATGAAGATTGTGGTACCACAGCATTTGGGCATGTATATCTTGACAGCCTGTAACATGGCTGTCTCCTGAGTCATACTGCCTCAGTCAGGCCTGGTTGCCCTCTGTGTCTGATGCTCAGATGTCATCTGGGATCTCACTTCCTGTCTTTCTGGGGATTCCCTTTGCTTGCTTCTGTGTTGAATCTGTTTCCTATATGTGGTGTGTTCTTTCTTGGAGCAGTTAAGCCACTATGGCTTGTTCCTTCTCTGGCGATTAAGCAAACTAAAAGCTACAGTGTGTTTCTAGACCCCATTTGCTAGTAGGGCAGGAGCTATGTAAGTAGATTTCTCACCCACTAAAAATTGGGCAGACTCAATCTAAGGGTTATTCGTGCTCATTGCTGGCAACTAAAATGAGTCTGTAATAGGCAGGGACTGACAAAAGCCATCAATGGATGAATTAGAATAAATAGAACTCTTTAACATAGCTAATTTTTCCAGGTCCAGAACTGGGAAAGAAAAGCTGTTTAGGAGTTAAGTTCAACTTTACACATATGGACTTTGAGGGACAACTGATTAAATATGTAGCATATGTCCTACATATACCATGTTTTGGATATGTAAATAGATATAGTAGTATTGCTGAAGATCTGGGGACTTAATTTTTAACAATCCCTTCACTACATAGATTTTCATGTACAGGGATAGAAAGAAAATGTGGCAACAACATTATTATAACAGAGTGAATTGTATTTAATTAATGATTTTCAGTTGGGAAAATTTTCAGTGTGCTGCATAATTCTGATAACTACCTGTGTGTATGTACATCTCTATTCTATAGTGATAAGGGATCAAATCTTGTCCCTGAAGAACCAGCCAAAGTTGAGGAACCAGCACCCACAAAGAAGCCCTCAAAAGAACAAAGAAGTATTAAAGAAATGCCATTTATAACTTGTGATGAATTTAATGGTATTCCTGCGTAAGTATTTAAGATACATTTTATTGTTCAGTCCATACTAACCAACATAAATGATTGTTTAAATCATAAAACTTGATTATTTTAATTGTAATATGCTGTGTTCAGATGTTGATCTTTTTGAAATCCTAGCCTCAAGCAATCTTGCCTCAGCCTCCCAAAGTGCTGGGATTACTAGTATGAGCTACCATGCCTGCCCACGACCTTTTCTAAAATAATTTTATATTGTACTATGAAAATGCAAGACATTTTTTGAATTTTTTTTTTTTAGTTGTAAAATCTTTTTGTTTGTTTGTTTTAGTCAGAGTATCACTCTGCTGCCCAGGCTGGAGTGCAGTGACACATTCATGGCCACTGCAGCCTCCACCTGCTGGGCTTAAGTGATCCTTCTGCCTTAGTCTTCCAAGTAGCTGGAACTACAGGCATGTGCCACCATGCCCAGCTAATTTTTTGATTTATTGTAGAGATGAGGTCTTGCCAAGTTGCCCAGACTGGTCCAAACCCTTGGGCTCAGGCAGTCCTCTCACCTCAGCCTACCAAAGTGCTGAGATTATAGCTGTGAGTCACTGTACTTGGCTATAAAATCTCTTTTCATAGAGCGATCTAGAGATTTATCAGTTTTCTCTCCAGGATCTTTTTGTGATAAAGATTTATCAATTAAATTTTTTTATTTTTATTTATTTATTTATTTATTTACATTTTTATTTTTTGAGTTGGAGTCTCACTCTGTCGCTCAGACTGGAGTGCAGTGGCTGCTCCCAGCTACCGCAGCCTCAACCTGCTGGGCTGCGGCAATCCTTCCGCCTCAGCCTTCCAAGTAGCTAGAACTACAGGCGTGTGCTACCACACCTGGCTCATTTTTGATTTATTGTAGAGATGAGGTCTTGCCAAGTTGCCTAGGTCTTGAACCTGCGAACTCAGGCAATCCACTCACCTTAGCCTCCCAAAGGCATGGGATTACAGGCTGAGCCGCTGAGCCTGGCTTAATTTTATTTATTTATGTTTATTTTTTTTGTGTTGGAGTCTTACTCCATTGCCCAGGCTAGAGTGCTGTGGCATGCTCATGGCCACCCCAGCATCGACCTGCTGGGCTCAGGCAATCCTTCTGCCTCAGCCTTCCAAGTAGTTGAAACTACAGGCACGCAATTCCATGCCCTACTAATTTTTGATTTATTGTAGAGATATATTGCCCGGGCTGGTCTCGAGTCTGCGGACTCAGGCAATCCTCTCACCTTGGCCTCCCAAAGTTCTGGGAATACAGGCTTGAGACACCATGCCCAGCCTACCAATTACATTTTAGAAGTACCTTCGGTTTTGCTGTAATTTTAAGAGTATTGAGTGTGTTGTATAGATTTGAGAATTAGAATGAAGAGTGTCGTGTGGGTTTGGTTTACATTTGTTCCTAGCAGCATACACTTTTGGGTCCCTGAGGAGAATAAAGAATGAACAAGACAAAATGCCTCCCATAGAGGGAGGTCTCCTTGGCTTTTTTATTTTTTTTATTTCTCCATTATGACAGTCTACCATTTAATCCTTTGCTTTTTACAGATGGCAATAATGGGAAGCCAATCATGGAAATCTTTGTTTTTATTTTTTTTAATTTTTTACTTTTTTATTTTAAAGTGTGGAGTACAATTCAGGGTTAGGTATGCAAACATTGATTATGCAGGTACCCTTGTTGATGAGGTGTGTTCCTCCCTCCCCTAGCAGTTTCCCTCAACTGTCAATTTCACCCACCCTCCCCTGGCAGTTTCCCACTAATGCCATTCCCTTTCTTATAGTATTATGATAATTGTTCAAGAGCCACTTATATTGGGAGGCTGAGGTGAGTGGATTGCCTGAGCCCACGGGTTCGAGACCCACCTGGGCAGGCGAGACCTCATCTCTACAATAAATCAAAAAATTAGCTGGGCGTGGTAGTGTGCACCTGTATTTCTGACTACTCGGAAGGCTGAGGCAGAAGGATCGCTGAAGCCCAGCAGGTCGAGGCTGCGGTGGCCGAGAGCAGCCACTGCACTCCAGTCTGGGCAACAGAGTGAGACTCCAACTCAAAAAAAAAAAAAAAGAGCCACTTATGAGTGAGAACATATAGTACTCTGTTCTTTCTTTCTGTGATAGATCACTGAGTATGACAGATTCTAAATCAATCCAAGTTACTGCAAAGTCTACATGTTTGTCCTACTTTATGGCTGTATAATATTCCATTGTGTATATGTACCATATGTACCACATATTTTTTATCCAGTCCAGCTTTGATGGTCAGCGTGGTTGGTTCCATATTTTTGCTATTGTGAATAGAGCTGCAACAAATATGCGTGTACAGGCATCTTTATTGAAGAATGACTTGATATCCTCTGGGTATATTCCCAATAGGGGGATTGCTGGATCATATGGAAGGTCAAGTTCTAGTTCTTTCAGAAATTACCACACTGTCTTCCAAAGAGGCTGCACTAGCTTGCACTTCCACCAGCAGTGTAGAAGTGTTCCTTTTTCTCTGCATCCCCGCCAGCATCTGTTGTTTATTAATGATGATCATTCTTACTGGGGTAAGTGGTGTTTCAATGTGGTTTTGATTTGCATTTCTCTGGTGATGAGTGAGGCTGAGCACTTTTTCATCTGATGACTGCCCGTATGTCTTCTTTTGAGAAGTGTTTATTCATGTCTTTTGCCCACTTTTTAATGGGACTGTTTGTTTTTTTCCTTTTGGTGCAATTAAGTTCTTTGTCGATCCTAGATGTTAGGGCTTTGTCAGATATACAGTTGGCAAATATTTTTTTCTCATTCTATGGGCTGTTTCTCCACTCTCTTGATGGTTTCTTTTGCTTTGCAGAAGCTCATCAGTTTGATGAGGTCCCATCTGTCTATCTTATTTCTTATGGTATGGTCACTTAGGGTTCTGACCAGGAATTGGTTGCTAGTTCCAATTTCCATAAGGGTCTTTCTTGCGTTGTCTACGATTCTTATAGTTTGATGTATTACGTTTAGGTCTTTGATCCATTTAGAGTTAATTTTTGTCAGTATTGATAGGTAGGGGGTCCTGTTTCAATCTTCTGCATGTGATCAGCCAGATTTCCCAGCACTATGTACTGAATAGGTTCTCCTCTTCCCAGTGGTTGTTGTTGGAGGCTTTGTCAAAGATGAGTTAGTTGAGGAATTGAGGCTTTGCATCCAGAATCTCCCTGAGACTTTCCTGTTCCTTTGGTCTTTATGCCTATTCTTGTACCAATACCAGACTGCTTTGATTACTTAGCCTTATAGTAAAGTTTGAAGTCTGGAGGTGTGATATCTCCAGCTTTGTTTCTTTTGCTGAGGACTGTTTTGGCTATTCGTGGTTGTTGATGTTTCCATCTGAATTTCTGTATTGTCATTTCCAAGTCTGAGAAGAATGATGTTCGTAAATTTAATGGGTATTGCATTGAATCTGTAGATTGCCTTTGGTAGGGTGGACATCTTAACAATGTTGATTCTTCCTTCCATGAGCATGGGATATTTTTCCATTTGTTTGTGTCTTATTGGATTTCTTTGAGCAGCATTTTATAGTTCTCATTGCAAAGGTCTTTCAATTCTCTTGTTAGGAAGATGCTGAGGTATTCCTTTTTTGTGTGTGTGTAGCTGTTGTGAATGCGATTGTGCTTTTTATTTTGTTCTCTGCCTGCTTGTTGTTGGTGTATAGAAATGCAACTGTCTTTTGTACATTTATTTGAAACCCTGAGACTTTGCCAAAGTTCTTTATCAGTGCAAGCAGGTTTTTGACAGATTCTTTTGGATTTTCGAGGAATAGAATCATATCGTCAGCAAAGAGGAATAACTTGACTTCCTCTTTTTCTATTTGGATACCCCTGATTTCCTTCTCTTGTCTAATTGCCTGAGTTAGGACTTCCAACACAATATTGAACACGAGGGGTGAGAGGGGGCACCCTTGTCTTATTCCAGTTTCCAGGGAAAATTTTTCCATTCTCTGTTCATTTAGCAGTATGTTAACTGTGTGTTTATCTTAGATGGCACTTACTATTTTGAGGTATGTTCCTTCTATACCTAGGTGTTTGATGGTTTTTATTATGAAGTGCTACTGGATTTTATTAAAAGCTTTTTCTGTTCTAATGATATAATGGTGTGATTCTTGTTTTTATATCTGTTGACATATTTAATTACATTTATGGCCTTGTGAATGTTGAACCAGCCCTGCATCCTGGGGATGAAGCCTACTTGGTCATGGTGGATGATTTTTGAGATGTGTGTTTGGATCTGATTCGCTAGAATCTTGTTGAGGATTTTTGCATCTACATTCTTAAGGAATATTGATCAGTAGTTCTCTTTTTTGTGAATCTTTACCTGGTTTGGGTATCAGTGTGATGTTAGCTTTGTAAAATGATTAGGGTGAATTCCATCTTCTCAATTGCCTGGAATACCTTCGGTAGGAGAGATATCAACTCCTCCTTGTACGTTTTGTAGAATTCTGCTGGAAAGCCATCCAGGGCAGGGCTTTTTTTGTTTGGTAGGTTTCTTATGACAGAGTCAATTTCCTGGACTGTTATTGTTCTATTAAGTGTCTCAATGTCTTCTTGTTTCAATTTGGGGAGGTTGTGTGATGTCAGAAATTCTCCATTTCATTTAGGTTATGAAGTTTGTTTCCATATAGGTGTACATAGGAATCTCTGGTAATCTTTTGTGTTTCTTCAGGGTCAGCTGTTCTTTGATCTTTTGTATTTCTGATTGTGTTTATTTGGGCTTTTTCTCTCTTTTTCTTGGTCATTCTGGCTAGGGGGTCCATCAATCTTGTTAATTCTTTCAAAGCACCAGCTTTTTGTTTTGTTGGTGTTTTTATGATATTTTTGTCTGCTGTGTCCCATATTTGGGCTCTTATTTTGGTAATCTGGATTCTTCTGCTAAAGTTAGGGTTTTGGTCATCTTCTCTTTCCACCTCCCTTAGGTGATTTGTTAGGCTCTCATTTTGTATTCTTTGCATTTTCTTGACGTGTGCTCATAGAGATATAAATTTCTCT